AGATGTGAGATGACAGATTAATATTAATGATTGTTACCTCGTCCACAGAGTCAGGAGAAACAGAGAAATCAACATCAAGAGCAGCAGAGTCCACTTGATGATATGTATTATGAATGTTGAGTTCCCTGAGAATTAAAGATAGATATGAGACTCTTTACTGGTAGGATTAGATTGAAACATTTCATTTCTACTTTGTGATACCCTCTGTTCATCATTCAGTCACACTCTAACAGTGTGTGTGTGTGTGTGTGTGTGTGTGTGTGTGTGTGTGTGTGTGTGTGTGTGTGTGTGTGTGTGGTGTGTGCAGGTGAATGTTAATAACTTACCTGCCAAAACAATCAGATGTAAGGTGGAGTTATGACGTCCTCTTGTGTTCTGAGCTTCACAGTAATATCTCCCACTGTGATCAGCACTGAAGTTAGAGATGGTGAAGATCTGTCCTGAAGCTGTTGGTGAGTCTTCATCCTCCTTGAACCAGGTGTAATTAGCTGCTGGGTTAGCATCACTGCTACAGGTCAGAGTCACTGAACTGCCCTCCACTATCTCAGCAGAGGGACTCACTGACACAGAGGGAAGCTTTGGAGAAACTGATGATACATAAAAAGGTTTCTGAAGATTTGAAAGTCATTAACAGACAGGATAATCAAGGTGTGAGAAAACTATGAAACTACAGAGAAATCAGGTCAGTAAGGAAAGTCTCCAAATGTTGAATGTTGCTGTTTAAAGTGTTTCACTCACATTTCACATCAATAGAGATCCATTTATAGGTCGGCTTTCCCAGATCGTTCTCAGCTTTACATGAAAACTCTCCAGAGTCAGAGGACTTGATGGAGCTGAAGACGAGCTGAGCTTCTCTACTGAGAGGTTGATTGTTATTCTTCTTGAACCAGGTGTATTCAGGTGCTGGGTTAGCATCACAGCTACAGGTCAGAGTCACTGAACTGTTCTCTCTGATTTCACCAGCAGGACTCACAGACGCTGAACAATCTGTTGGAGCATTTTGAGGAGAGAAGAATAAAAATATAACTGAAGTGTCATTAGATCTGTGTTTGTATTTCAGTGTCCGCCCAGCTTTAGTAAACTGAAGGCCTTCTCTAAAGCCGGCGTTTGTTTTGTCTTTTCTGGTTCATTATAGGAACACGTGAAGCGTAAATGTAATAAAGAGCTACTTCTTGGAAATCATTAACATAATGTAACCCAGGTTATTTCTGTAGTTTCATATTTACAGATGTTCATTAAACGCATAACAGATTTACGCAAGTTCCTTGAATGAACCACCTGCAGGCTATCGGTACCCCCTGAAGTATCGGCAGAATGAAGTTTTTCTCCGTGATTTCTACAGACTGTGAAGTAAAATAGACACATAAAAAGGAAGCTGTTAGACAGGAAGATGAATAAGATACGTTCATGAGCTGTTTCCAAGAGTTAAAAAGCTTTTAGTGAAGCTGGCAGTTTCTCCAGTCACAGTGGAGGAGAAGTTCACCGGCAGAAACTCTGAAGGTGTTCTCACCTTTAATGTGGATATCCTGGTGAGTTAGCTGTTCAAATTAGATGACTAGCATGCACATTTCATTGTTAAAATGTTTCAGTTGTATTTAATTTGATTTCAAGATGTCATAGAGCTAAAACCAGTCAGGATATTTGGTGTAAATTGAAGTTTGGATGTAATGTGGTCTGTGTTCAACCTAACTGTGGCCTAGTAGCTACGAGCTAAGCTAAGCTCTGTATCTGTGTGTAGCACGCAATGTCATTTTTTTCCATGTGATGAAGTCACTTGGGACACAAATTGATAAAAAACAGTCACTTAGTTCATGTGTTATTGTTGTGTTAAAATCAAATTAAAACTGTGAAGTAACTGGGTCTTTTCTGAGGGACGATTCAACCGCCGTCCAGGTCTTTGCTGCTTGAGGGTGCTGTCGTCTCATCTGGATGCTGATCTGCAGATAATGTGTTGTTCCAAAGGGAGGTAGGAAGCACATATGGAGTCTAACTGAAAGGATTTTTATTTTTATTTGCACTTTTGTTTTTTCTGAGATCTCAGTATGTTTTGTTTTGGGCCTAAAATCTAACATTAAAGGAACTCTCTTTTCATAACCGAAAAACAAAGTTGAAACGGACAAAGACTGAAACCTTAAAAGGGGATTTAATTCATTTTGTTACAAAGGTGTGTTTTCCATCTTGTCTTTTCGATTTGTTTAATTTAAGATATATGGAAGAGGTATTTTTTTATTTAAAGTGTATACATGTTTCATATATGTGAACAGGAAAAGAACTGTGATCAAACCTCTTAAATACGTTTCTCTTTTATATCCATACATCGGTGTTGTGTGTGTTTGTGTGGACTGGAGGTCTTATTGCTCTTTATAGAGTCTGCTACAACCAATCTCCTTAAACAACCTAGTGAATCACAAGATTTGAGTAACCTGAACAACTGAAACGCTAACATTCTGAAACTGTTCATTTAGAGATCATTTGATATTGATACTTAGAACATTTGATCTAGAGTCTTCTGAATTGACAACCTATTTTAGGTTTAACCCCCCCTGGTTAGAGGATACAATAACAAACTTTTAAAGTAATTAAACTCAAGTAAAAATATTTTAAATCGTCACATTAAAGTCCTGATTAAATCTCACACACTGGTCCTTTAACTTGAATCTGTCAAAGAGACTATAGTAGTGTGTTTATTTGTAGGTGAGAGTTTCTTCTTTACACATAATATCTTCAAGAACATTTCTGCTGTTTCACTCACATTTCACATTGATAGAGACGTATCCAGACCTCTTCCTCCCCAGCTTGTTCTCAGATCCACAGTAATACTCTCCAGAGGCCGAGGGTTGAATGTAGTTGAAGACCAGCTGTGCTCCTTCATGAAGGTATTGAAATATCTGATTTCTCTTGTACCATTTAAAAGTAGCTGCTGGGTTAGCATCACTGCTACAGGTCAGAGTCACTGAACTGCCCTCCACTATCTCAGCAGAGGGACTCACTGACACAGAGGGAAGCTTTGAAGCATCTGGAGGAGAAAACATCTGTTTTAATTTTTCCTCAACATTAAAATGTTTGAATTGTCAAGATGAAAAAACAGTGCTCAGTGGGCTTTAGCTGCAGACTGTGAGTGTGAAGTAGAGCTAGAGGAAGCAGATATGATCAGCAAATTAAACCTTCAAATGAGAAATCAGCTCAATGTTGCTTTTCAAAGAAAATGTTTTTCACTCACATTTCACTTCAACTTTGACGTATCCAGATGTCCTCTCTCCCAGATCATTCTTAGCTTTACAGTAATACCTTCCAGAGTCAGAGGACTGAACTGAGCTGAAGACGAGCTCTGATTCTTTACTGAGTTCACGACCGTTCACCTTGTACCAGGTGTATTCAGGTGCTGGGTTAGCATCACTGCTACAGGTCAGAGTCACTGAACTGCCCTCCACTATCTCAGCAGAGGGACTCACTGACACAGAGGGAAGCTTTGGAGCATCTGGAGGAGAATCAGAGAGACCTTTGTCATCCACATCAGATGATGATGATGAACATATTACATTCTAACTTAGCTTTTGGTTTTGAAATTGAGGCTCATGACAGCTGAATAAAGGTTTTTTTTTTACATTGAAACAGATAAACAGGACACTCTATGAAAAATCTAAATAAATAACAAATACCACTGAGGTACATGCTGCTATGAGGCACCATTTAATAGTTTAAAGATTCCATCTGATGGTGTGAATCAGTGAAGACTGTAAATAAACTCACACACTGGAGGAGACGGGCACTTCTCATGTCCTGATAGAGCACAGGAGTAACTGTCTGTCTGAAGAAGCTGCTCTGATGGATAATAAGATGGAAGTGCTATGTTTGAATTTCTGTCCGTTCCTGAACCAGATGTAGGAGGTTTGACTGGAAAGTCCACTGAGACACTGAAAGAGCAGAGCCTTATGTGGTCTGCTCACCTTCACCTGGAGATCTGAACATGTGAAGAAACGTCAACTGTTTTCACAAAACATGCACATATTAAAACATGTATTTATAATGTATTAGAAACAGTGAGCTCAGAAATATTGAGGTGAAAGATTACCTGTGACTGACAGAGTGACCCCAGGGTGACCATGATAACTGTCTTTGTTTATTATGAATCTAAACCAGTACACAGTCGAGTCTGTCTCTCTCAGGTTTGTGATTCTCAGAGTGCATTTGTTCTCATCACAGATATTCTTCACACGACCTGAATACTCTGAGTCTGTTTCTACATCTTTGTAAGTACCACCACCTCCTCTAAACCAGAATGTTTTCTGAAGTGAGTTAACTTCTCCTTTTATCCTCTCTGGGTATGTGAAGGTGCAGTTCATCTCCACAGTTGATCCTTTATAAGCACAGATCTGAAGAGAAGAGTAAGTCACTCTCCAGCTGTCCTGACCCTGAACCACTGTAACACAGAGCACATCAGGAAACAACCATCAACATCCATAACTTTAAAAAGAAAAAGGAAAAGTCTCTACATATAAAAAAAAATGTTTGTATCCAAACAGGAAGTAAAGCACCCTTAACATAAAACAGTATAATATCTACAATAAAAGCATAACATATTTAAAATGTAAAATAATGGAACTTCAAACATGTGATTAAAGATATGATTAATCATAAATGTGTAATTGTTTGAAAGCCCTAGTGCAGGGGTCTCCAACAGGTAGCTCGGAGCAGGCAGGTTTAAAGTAGCTCACCTATAGGTTGACCGACTGTTAAAAAAATAAAAATAAAAATAAATCAGTGAATGTACCTCTTCCCACTATTCATATATTTGGCCCATTAAAACAAGTGTAAAGAAGTAATGTTTTCTTGGACCTTGATGTGAATTCTCAGCAACATAGCTTACAATAAGAAGTGTAAAATATTCATGTTTTTTTCTTGGACCTTGATGTGAATTTAAGATTCTTGATAAGCATTGGCTTTTTGCAATTTCACACGTGTACAAACAGTAGCTTCATTCAGTTGATGTAAATGAATGCAAGAGATTTGATGCAAGTTAAGCTTGGCCACTTTCATTTTTTCAAAGAAGCTCTCAGATGAAGAAAGGTTGGAGACCCCTGCTCTAGTGTAAAAATAGACTGTATGTTAAAATTGACGGTGCAATGGCTGCAGTCAAAGGAGAAAGATTTAGAGCGCCCCCTGCTGACTGGCTGCAGTATAGGTCAAACTCCAACCTCCTCCATGATAACAGAAAGGCCATGGGGGTCAACAATGAAATCTAAATGCATGCATCTGTTCTTCTGTTGACTGAACACACCTGAGGGATTTTTATGTTTCTCTGTACGTTAAATGTTTTCGTTAGAGGAAGTAGCGTGACGTCTTCCAGTGGATCCCTACTACGCAGACTCTGGTTGCAAATATGCAATATGTAAGCGCCCATCATGAGGATAATTTGGCTTCATCTTGTTCAACAGAAGGAGCCTGAGGGATGTTGTCCATTTGTATATACAGTTAAAGGAAGAGTAGAAGATGTTCACTTGTTTCTACAGTTAATCTGCAAGTCGTTGAGACCAGACATCATCCAGTCTGAAGGTGTAGAGAACGTTAAATGTGTTATTTAGACCTGTGAACTTTACGGTTGTAAGAGGAAGTATTGATTATCAGAGAGAAGAACATCACTTTAGAGATGTTATATTTAGAGGGTAATCCCTCTCCTTCACCATTGTAGGATGAAAAGACAGTTTTATGTATTTTTGATGTGGCTGGGTCAATAATGCTCGTTTAGGAAGTGAAGGGCAAGAAATTCTTCATCATCCAAACATCGGTGAGTGCTAACAAGCTAACATAAGTTAAGGTTAGCTGACGATAGTATCTGGGTCTCTGTCAGTCAGTGTTCTGGGGCAGTAATGTTCGTTAAAGGCAGGAATATTTAGATCAAGTTAACACAATCTTTAATGTCATGATAAGGAGAAGTCTGTTCTTTTGTTTGTTGAACTATGAGGTGTGAGAAACAGAGCAGACACTCATACTTAAAGATACGATCTTAAAAGCTGTCAAAGCTATCATGGAAACAAGTTTCCATCCAAAAAATGTTAAAAAGGATAAAAAATACATGTCGATAGAAACTGTATGAAAGATTCTGAAAACAACTAAAGATCTTCCTGTTAGACATTAAAACAGATATACAATGATATACATTAAAACTGTGTTTATAGTGTTTCTGAGAACATTTCCTGTAACATCAAGCACACTTTTCAGTCTGCATTAATCAGCCCCACATCTCCTCATATTTCCCTCTTTAGATTAAATGAATGTAACTGTAGATATGAAGTACCTGACACAGAGAGGAGGAGGACGATAAATCCACTCACTGCTGCAGTTAAAGTCATCGCTGCTCCTCTCATCTCTCTGTGTGACTTTAGGGACAATAAAACATGTTAGCAGATTAATAAGAACACAGCAGGACTCAAACAGTACCAGACATGTTGATAAATTATTCTACTTACAGTGAAGAAGGATATCGTCTGAGAGAAGACTGTCCTCCTCTGCAGTGAGTGAACAGAAGACAGATATCAGGGTGTTTTTAACGCCTACATTTCCTTCCTCTTTAGATGATTAACATATATGATCAGTCAAACAGGAAGAACTCACGTCACAAATAAGTCCTATTGGTACCAAACTTGTTTAGTGTGTTGGGCCACGCAGGCTTAGGACAGTCAAACAATGGACTTGGGCCTGCACCTCTGTAAAAGCCTCATTTGAGTTATTCACTGAGATCACAAAGAGGCCTAAAAGGACTCTTAATCCCAGAATCCCCTGCGGTACTTCACACCTACGCGTGAAGTAAAGGGGGGACCGGAACCTCTCTCTCCTCATTGGAGGGGACCTGAGGTAGACCCCCCATGGAGCAGGCCAGGCTACAAAACTCCAAGACTTCCATTGTTAGATCTCTTTCACACGCTGACTTCTGGTGCTCGGAGATCCAAGCTCACCTCCTGTTTCCTGCAACAATCTTCCTTTGTTTTAAGTTTTTGGCGCGCAGGTAATCCGCGGCCGGCAGTGTTCTAAATTCCGAGCTCGGATTGTCCAGTGAACGCATCTCAGTTTCTCGGAGAGCGTCAGACTATAACAGATTATCAGAAAGATAATTCCGTCCTGCAACGAAAGGACATCAAAGGACATCTTTCCACTCGACGGAGAACCAACGAAGCCGCTCTCGCCGTAAGGGACCCTCGCCACCATCAGACGCTCTGCACCAGGACGGACAGAAGATCTGCTCCATCGCCGGACTCTTTTCCTTTCACCAATCGCGGACAAAGCGATTCACAAGTGAGGCTTAATTAGGTCTGGGCAGAATTAGCTTTAGAGAGTGTTTTTAACAATTGTTGATCAAAGCAGAAACTGTAATTTTTATCTTTGTTGGACCTGCGTCCTGAGTTTGAACTGTTTAAAACTCTTGTTGTTGTTTCGGACCGCTGCGTCCTATATGTGTTTAGCGTAACAGCGTTATAACCGGGTATTACTCTTCTGATCAGAAAGGCCAGTGTAAGCTGTATTAACCTGAATTCGGCTATTGGTTTGTTTTTGTGAATGAAGGGAATTACTCCGAGTTGTGGCGCGGGAGTCGGACTGTGATCCGGCCTCTTCAGGCACGCATTTCTCTTTTATTCTCTTTTATTTCCCCTTCTACGAACACACATACACACATATTCCTGTGTAAACGTACATCTGGAGACCAACTCCACCACCGTGCCATTACGCACAGAGATCTATACACTCGCGGCTATCCAGACGCCTCAGAGACACAGATCGTGTAGGGCCGAACTCAGTCTCTTTTAGACCTTAAGGCCACATTTAGGCCTTTGTTAGGTATGTGCCATCGGAAGGGCGACCACGTGGGTACGAAGCCATCTCCCCCCCTTCTCTCTCCCTTTCATCCACACGCAGGGGTGGCCTTCAAAAACACACACAAATAAATAATAATAAATGATTTACCTTTAAAAATAACCTATTAAAATTCACCTGTTATATCTCAGTTATAAAACAAAATAATGGAAACATAAATACATTTTTAGCTGACACAAAAATAAGATGTATGCTAAAAGTCCAAATTTAAAGTACTTACAGTCAAACTTGCAAGATTACATGAATTAGCAATGTGTTGGTCCTGTACATGCTAGTTACTTCATTGCAAGTATGACAGTGTGCATTACCGTCCTATGCACCGGTCTTGTGAAATAGATATGCAAAGTATTTATTATTATTATCATGAACTGTTTATCAAACAATTAAAAATGATTCATTGATGTGTTAAGAAAATTACAAGGAGCCTTCAAAAAGAGAAGAGTCAGTTTTATCATTAGTCTCAGCTCTGACAGGGTGAATAGCCAATCACAGTTCAGGATAATTTTTTTTTTTTTTTGGGGGGGGGGTACTCATGAGCTGGTCAAGTGGATTAATCATAGAAAGATAAAATAGATTTCTTAGGAATATTTTGCAGCAGAACAGAGTTCAAAGAGAAGCATGCTGAGAACATGCTGAGTTTTTTTATTTTATTTATATATTTATTTTTGAATCAGGATGTTTAATAGTCTGCAGCTGAGTTGAACCAAGGGATAGAGTTCAGGGAGCAGAAAAGTTCAGGTGGGCGGCAGGGCAGAGGCAGAGGGAGAGCAGGAACCTGAAGGGCATGAGCGCAAATAGTTCAGGAGGGAGGACGGGAGGCCGACCAAACGGTGAGAGCAGTTTGGGAAGGCGGCGGCGAGGAGATTTCTGTCTTGCCGTCAACGTAAAAACATGGGCAGGTATAGGCCAGGCCACTGACAGGCCCAAAAGAGTGGGCAGGGCCTAAAACAGGGATGCAGTTGTTGGCAGGGCCTCCCACTGGGACACAGCAATGGACAGACATGCCAATGGGGAACCAGGCCTCAACAGGAACGTTAAGAGGGCTGGAGCTGAAGATGCTCTGGCAGGACAGGAGCACAGGCTGAGGTTCTGGGGCACAGGTTGGCTGAGGTTCTGGGACACAGGTTGGCTGAGGTTCTGGGGCACAGGTTGGCTGAGGTTCTGGGACACAGGTTGGCTGAGGCTCTGGGACACAGGTTGGCTGAGGTTCTGGGGCACTGGGTGGTCTCAGGCTCTTGAGAGCATGGAGACTGGGTCATTTGGAAGCACGGGGGCAGAGTTACTGGGAAGCACAGGTACTGGGTCACTGGGAACCCTGTTAGCTGAGGCTCTTGGAAGTGGGAAGGATGAGGCTCGCACACCAGTTGCTGAGTCTGAGGCTTTGAATGGCAAACCAGCTGCTGGGACTGTGGAGACTCAGGGAAGCTGGGTAACGAAGACTCGGGGGCGTTGCTCGATGGATTATACATATTATATCATAAATCAAATGATAAATTAAAATGTTTATTTATCCCGTTTAGGGAGCACTGAATGATAAAGCCTGAATGTGAGAATAAAAGCCTCTCCACTAGAGGGCAGTGAAACATCAGAGAGTCAGGACATTTACATTTTGTCATTCATCTCTGATTGTTTGGAAAAATGAAATTTACATTTGATCCCTTTTTACATTGTTTGCAGAAGTATTTCATTGAAATTTGGTTCAGGAAGTGTAAACATTTTACATTACTCATTTACATCTGTGACACATTACAAGAGAACCATTTAAGTAAAACTTGTAAGTGAATAAAAGCAAGGATATAAGCAACAGGTGAACTAACTACAGACATTTAGATGAATGCCAAACATGTGGTGACAGTACAACCTTTGTGCTTGGTGTGTTTCTGCTCTCTTACCGACACCACACACAGGCTACAGGTGCATTTAAATCTGACCACCTGGAATGGGCATGGTAGCTGTAGCAAACCCAGCTACAGCAATTGATGAATCCTTTATCTGTTGGTTTATGTTACTTTACTTTTTTGCTTCATGCTGTGCAATAACTCACAAACAAACCGTAAGAGCTGTACATAAAACACAACAGAAAGACAAACTTTATAAACATGCAAATAACCATTAAACCCAAAACAGAGAAAAGGACCATAAATATTTATAATATTAACACATAACAAGAGATAAGGTATAAAAATAGATAGTCAGGTTAATTTAGAACATTTTTACCAAGTCAAACAACAAAGTTAAAGAACCATATTAATAACATTTACTAACTACACCAAAGAATATATATAAATCACGTATTGATAACTATATGCCTTAAATACACATAAAATGAGCAATTAAATTTAGCAAAAAAATCAACATAATAACTACATTTAACAGGACTAAATTAACCAAGGTCTAAGGGCGAGCGAATAAGATAGCATGGCTAAGCTAAAGGCTAGCACGCTTAAATAAATCACTGAAAACATCATAAAGATTACAAAGGTTGTACCTTGTACACCTTCCAGCTGGTTGCTAAAATGTGAGGGCGTGGATAACAGTGGGTTTTTTTTAAATCAATTAACACACTGACTGTCTACCTACCTGAGTCTTTTAATATCCGGTTTAAAGCAGCTAAGAAGCAAATCAGCCTTCAAAATAAAAGCTTCCCCCACAAAACAATAAGAAACAGATGAATACAAAATTAGAATCTTCACAACAACAATTAACAATAAAGGTAAATACTTTTTAACTAGTAATACTTGTTTGATTTGTTTAAACCTGAGTCTTGTTAATGTAAAACTCATATTATTAATCCTGTAAAATAATTCATAATCACTTTACAGGTGGACCACAGCAAGTCATTCACAAAGCTTAATACTAACATCATTTATCTGTTTTAAGTCATTTATTAAATGCAGGTCTAGCTGCGTTCTTGAAGGAGTCTGTCCCGAGGATTCATTCTCAAAGTGGTTTCCTGTAAGGATTTCATTGGATGAGAGTAAACTAGAGGTTTCTTCGTCCATGTTTGTTGACTGTACTGTACAATGCAGCTGGATCTGCAGCTTGCTGACCACTGGTGCTGAGAAGAAGAAAGACATGAGATTATATGATAACAGGCCAACAGTGATCACGGTAAATGATGAAAACACAATAAACAGAATGATGAAAACAATAGTTTTGTGGTTAAAGATCATTTTATGTGAGGAGTTGTTTTACCTCTGGGCTGCACCACCGCTGTTAAAGTTAACCACAGAGTACTCAACCATCTCCTCTTGTTCTCCTTCTTCTTCTTCCTTCTTCTTCTTCTTGTGTGTTTGGGGTTTAACTGGTTGGATGTTGGAGTAGAGAGGATCAGCCTGGTTCCTGGAAAAGTCGACAGTGGCATATTGAAGCTCATCCTGCTCCTCTGCTGGTTGTATCTGTGAACACCGGACAACAAAGAGTATTCAATTATTTACAGACAGACTTTTGAAAGACAGGATTCAAGGCTTGAGTTATTTACAGAGACAGAAGTTGTAATTTTACTGAAAGCAAAAGAGGGAACTTGAGACTTGAATCAGAAACCAATCCAGTTTTTGGTGTTTCATTAAAAGCAGTTCATAATGTTATGGTTTGCCTTGTTGAATGCTGATGATCCTTGGGTGTCTTTATCAGGCCAGGAAAGCAACGCAACCCAAAAGGTCTCACTTTCCTTTTTTGGGGAGCTCTCAGAAAATCATCAGTTTTTTGGAAAAACCCAACATGTGAAGCACCAGGATGGAGAGAGCAAAAGCTTAAGCACTTACAGCAAACAAATAGGACAAACATTGCTGTAGGCAAACAAATCAAACACTATGTCAAGAGTTCAACCGTCCCTGATTCATAAATTCAGAGACTTCCTCACCTGTTCACTGTTCTCTGGTCTGTCTCCGGGCTCAGACGGTTGCTTGCAGGCCCTCTTCTTTCTGGTGAGGTGCATTCAAATAGAAAAGTAAACCATATTGTTGTTTGTGAGGGTACAATGCATTAATCATGAACAAGTATTTGCTGAAAAAGAACTGCTCACATGATCCATATGACGACAAAGATGAGTATGATAATGAGGAAAATAGCAGGAACTGTCACAGCAGTCGTCAGTTTCCATCCTCCTGCTGAAACAGACAGAGACAGAAAGTTAACCTTACAAGTAAAAACACGTCATGAACACATTCTTACAACTTATTGTATTTCTTTTGGTGAAATTGAAAAAGAAATAAGACCCAAACGAAGGACAAACACCCTGTTACTGTTAAAAACAGACTACGATACTCACTTTTGACATTTATCAAAAACATTATTGTGACAAAGACTTAAAAATGTAACGTTTAGTTCAGCATCTCAAAACTACTCAACCAGGCATGCAACAGGAGGGAACTTCATTTTACCTAAAGCAAGAACCAACTCAATTAAACAAACAGTAAATGTTTCGAGCAATGCAGGAATGGAACTCACTTCAAAGATACATGAACTAAGAAAACAAGAAAACTAAATTCAAATGTTTATTAAAGCAGTATCTTTTGACCGAGTAAATTCATCTATTGCCATCCAACAAGCTATACATTTTATTTGATTTATGTTCCTCCTGTAACTCTTTGATTGTTCTATTTGCTTATTGTTTATGTGTGTGTATGTTTAGACAGATGCATTTTGCAGGTACATGTATATATATTCTTTAACTCATCAGTAGATTGTGTACAGAGGAACTGAACGGGTTCAAATGTCACTGCCATGGATTGAACAATCGTATGATCATAATTTCCTAGAAGCTGTCCTCACCCTGTCATTGTGTTCATGTTTTGTCTTGCTGTTAGTCCTGTAATGTTATGTGTTAGGATGAAAGCTGTGTATTGAATGTTGTTTATGTTAATGAGTGTTATGTTGGTTTTAAGTTGTAAGATGACACAGTCACACTGTAATGGGTGTTGTGGACCTCAGGAAGAAAAGCTGCAGCATTGCTGTAATCCAGGTCCGCCTTCCCCTCGTGCCTCAGTGTTGCAGAGGTACTGTCAGCCTAACCTTAACCTGATATCCTAAGAAACTAAACTGAACTAAACTGAACCCCTCTCGGAGTCTCTGGAAGGCGTCCTGGGAAGAATTCAATCGAGGAAGTCTTTAGTTATACCAAGAGACTGACTAATGGAGAACCTTTACGGAGGTCTATTGGGTGGCCTTCCCGACTGAATCAGAGTGTTGTTATTCCTTTAGACCGCTGTTCCTGTCATAGAGTCATATGACCTGTGAAACAGTGTGGGTGAAGCTTACCTTCCAAAACAGTCAGATGTACAGTGGAGTTATGACGTCCTCTGGTATTTTGGGCGATACAAATATAATGCCCACTGTGTTCAGGACTTGTGTTGTTTATGTTAAAAATCTGTCCTGAAGCTGTTGGTGAGTCTTCATCCTCCTTGAACCAGGTGTAATTAGCTGCTGGGTTAGCATCACTGCTACAGGTCAGAGTCACTGAACTGCCCTCCACTATCTCAGCAGAGGGACTCACTGACACAGAGGGAAGCTTTGGAGCATCTGGAGGAGAAAACATCTGTTTTAATTTTTCCTCAACATTAAAATGTTTGAATTGTCAAGATGAAAAAACAGTGCTCAGTGGGCTTTAGCTGCAGACTGTGAGTGTGAAGTAGAGCTAGAGGAAGCAGATATGATCAGCAAATTAAACCTTCAAATGAGAAATCAGCTCAATGTTGCTTTTCAAAGAAAATGTTTTTCACTCACATTTCACTTCAACTTTGACGTATCCAGATGTCCTCTCTCCCAGATCATTCTTAGCTTTACAGTAATACCTTCCAGAGTCAGAGGACTGAACTGAGCTGAAGACGAGCTCTGATTCTTTACTGAGTTCACGACCGTTCACCTTGTACCAGGTGTATTCAGGTGCTGGGTTAGCATCACAGCTACAGGTCACAGTCACTCTACTGTTCTCTCTGATTTCACCAGCAGGACTCACAGACGCTGAACAAACTGATGGAGCATCTTGAGGAGAGAAGAATAAAAATATAACTAAGAGTTTACAACAATCATTAAAGCTCAGCGTACTCTGTACGATTGTTTGAAATTCATGGAGGAATGTCGACTCACCACTGTACGAGTGAAATCAGGACAGAGCATTCACCATCATCAATAGATCTGTCTCATATGCACGACTCAAATACACACATGCCCAAAAAACACTTTCTCTCAAACACACACACACACACACACACACACAATCACACACACACAATCACACACACACACACACACACACACACACACACACACACACACACACACAATAACACACACACACACGCACAAGCTAACTAGCAGCTAAATAATAACAAGTGTTGCCTCTCAGCTGGAGGTCTGCAGATATTTCCTGCCATCGTTTCTTTTGGATTAAACAGGCGTGTCTACTGTTGCCATGGTGATTTAGGATGTTTTCTGTCAGTTTGCGCAGACACAATCAGGGGGGAAAAGTCCTGAAGTCGTGGGATCTGCGCATGGCTCTGCTATGTGAGTGTGGGCAGTCGTACAACCAAAATATCAAACGTGCCAGAAAATTATCCGACCAGTCTGAAGCAGCTGATCAGACAATGATAGGCTGTCGAGCCTCAGTGTACACTGCACAACTAACAACGGGAGATCAGGCAGAATGAAAAATCAGTCGACTCAAAGATTTTGATGAAATCGTCCTGAAATGGCTCAGAGTCGCCCGGCTTCAGTAGACTGAAGGCCCGCTCTAAAGCAGCCGTTTGTTCTGAGTCTTCTGGTTTATTATAGAAACATGTGAAGCATTGTGAACTTTGTGAAGTGCAGACATAAACAATCATTAACATTACAAACTTTTAAAGTAATTAAACTCAAGTAAAAATATTTTAAATCGTCACATTAAAGTCCTGATTAAATCTCACACACTGGTCCTTTAACTTGAATCTGTCAAAGAGACTATAGTAGTGTGTTTATTTGTAGGTGAGAGTTTCTTCTTTACACATAATATCTTCAAGAACATTTCTGCTGTTTCACTCACATTTCACATTGATAGAGACGTATCCAGACCTCTTCCTCCCCAGCTTGTTCTCAGATCACAGTAATACTCTCCAGAGGCCGAGGGTTGAATGTAGTTGAAGACCAGCTGTGCTCCTTCATGAAGGTATTGAGGGGTCTGATTTCTCTTGTACCATTTAAAAGTAGCTGCTGGGTTAGCATCACTGCTACAGGTCAGAGTCACTGAACTGCCCTCACTATCTCAGCAGAGGGACTCACTGACACAGAGGGAAACTTTGGAGCATCTGGAGAAGATGTGTTAGCAGTGATTATTCTATGTTGAGGTATGCTACCACCATAGCACAGAGTATGTAAATCATAAAGTGTGAATAACTTTGTGTAGCAACATTTTAGCTGTTGATGGTCTGAAACATATTTCACAAAACTCAAATTTTACCTCAGCTACAGATTGTAGCTTAGTGTGAATGAAATTCAAGAGATGGGAGAGATAAAAACTGTTTGTCATTTTTCACTCACATTTCACATCAGAGATAAAGTGTTCAGATGTTCTCCTCCCCAGATCGTTCTCAGCCGCACAGTAAAACTCTCCAGAGTCAGACGACTGGACGGAGCTGAAGACGAGCTCTGGTCATTTACTGAGAGGTTGAAAGTCTGGGTTCCCATTCTTCTTGTACCAGGTATAATTAGCTGCTGGGTTAGCATCACTGCTACAGGTCAGAGTCACAGTACTGTTCTCCACTATCTCAGCAGAGGGACTCACTGACACAGAGGGAAGCTTTGGAGCATCTGAGGAAGACATCAGGAGACATTACTCAAAGATAAGAACATTTGATCATAGATACATGTTCATTTTTATCTAGATGTCTTTATGTTCCTTTTTGATTCATCTTTCTGTCACAGTGACTGTAAAGTGCTGACCATGGAGCTCGAGTTTTACTTCTTTTTTATTTTGTCTTGACATCAATTCTGTGCAGTCTATGTAACAAACTGTTAAACAAAGGCCATGCAATTCCACTTTATCTTGAGGAGTCTCTTTCTAAAACATTGAATATGTGTTAATCGTTTTAGCTTTTGCTTCATCACTGATATCTTCACGAGACTGAAGCTTAATCTTTGGTTTGCCGTTCCACACAACTTCAACATCGCTTGTTTCCTCAATGTCTGATGATATACTAAGGTCAGTTTGTAATTTAATTCAGGAAATATTTTACACATTGGACTTTTAAATCTATAAGATTCCAGCAGGGTTTTAAGGGAACTTAAAGTGTAAGTGTGCTGTGGCGTTAGTCTTTAAGTGTGTTTTGTGATTTAGTCAAGTTTACTCACACACTGAAGGAGAGGGGAATCGATCATGTCCGTTTAAGGCACAGGAGATTTCATCCTCAAGATAAAACCAGCCTTTATAGGTAGAAGTCACAGCTCCGGTTATTTTCTGTTTGTTCCTGAACCAGACGTATGAGAGACGACCGACTTCACTGCAGCTGCTGTGACACGTCATCTCCACCTCAATGGAATGCTGACCGGCTCTTATCCTTTTAACCTGAACCTGTAACGCTGGATATGGAGGAAAAAAAAGTGAATTTTCACTGTTCTAAAAAGAGAGAGATTAGATTTAGATGCACATCATTTGAACTTCCACAATATCTAGAAGTCAAAGCAAGAAAACTAAGAGTCTGTGACCAGACAGCCTTTATTCTGACAGAAAAGCTCCAACACAGAACTTGGATTAAAATGCCTTTTTTTGGTCTGACTCAGTCAGCGCACACAAATTAGGCGTCTTTTCTATAATAATAATAATAATAATAATAATAATAATAATAACTTTATTTATATAGCACCTTTAAAAACACAGGTTTAAAAGTCCTGTGACAAACAGCAAAGGCAAGAACAAAGCAAACTAAACCAAACACAGAAGAACATAAACAACAGCAAGAATATAATGATCATTTCTGTCTGACATACTTTACAGCTTGGTGTAAAACCGAGCCTAAACAAGCTTCCCCTCTTCAGATTGTCTTTAGGTAACATTTGTTAAGAATTAGGGCTCTTCAAATAAAAATTGGTTTCCCAAGAAAGAAAAGTAAAGGACAAAAGCTTCTACCTGAAGAGTTCAAAGATTTGAAACTAAAAAACTCAGAGAAGCTGCTAAAAAGTTGGATTGCTCTAAATCGTTGGTTCTCAACTGGTCTCACCTCAGGACCCACTATCAACTATGAGGAAGTGTAAACCAAATCATCTGATATTTGTCAACCAATGAGATGTATTTAAATGTTGTGCAGTTTGGACCTCAGATGGTACAAAACATGTTTAAAGCACTCATAGACTTTTTGGCACACTTTATGTTTCCAAACACAAATTCACAACCCACTGAAAACGGCTCTGCGACCCACTTTGTGGTCCCGACCCACCAGTTGAGAACCACTGCTCTAAAGTAAAAGACGCTGAGTGGTGACATTCATCACAAAGGCTCTCTTATCATTAACACACAAGCATGACCTGTTTGTTCATATAAAACAGTGAGTACAAACTGATAGTGATGAGTTCAGGTTCTGTGTTTGTGTGTCTCCATGGCTCTGCGTTCATTAGTACCTGTGACAGTCAGAGTTGTTCCAGGTAAACTGCTCCTCCATTCAAAGCTTCTTGTTGTAAATTGAAACGATGCTGGGCTGAATCGCTCTCTCTCAGGTCAGAGATTCTCAGAGTGGAGCGTCCTCTCTCTCTTTCAGAGACCTGAACACGATTTGACTGATACCAATGCTGACTATGTTCAGGACTGAACCAGAACTTTGAAGTGACCGCTTCATGACCGTTGTAAGTACAATAAATGTCCACTGATGAGCCTTTGGGTGCACAGATGGTTCTGACATCGTAAGTCACTCTGTTACAGGTTTCACCATGAACACCTGGAAAATTAAACAAGTAATTTAAAACAGAGTAAAAACTCACAAGAGAAAAAAAACAAGTAGTTACACGTCTCCTCCACCAGATGTTGTTTTGTTCGAAGCAGATTGTGAAGTTAACTCACACACTGGAGGAGAGGGGAAATCCTGGTGTTCCTGTAAAGCACAGGAATAGCTGTCTACATTATTAAAGTAGTCTGAGTAAGTCGAGGATGTTTTTCTGGGGATTTTCTCTCCATTCTTGAACCAAATGTAGGAGGAATGAGGAGGGAGAGTACAACTGCTGACACACGTCAGAGCTGCCCAAGAAGAAGAAGAATATCTAGATGTGCCCACATGAAGATCTGGATGTGTGGAGAGAGAACAGATTGGAAATTTAAGACAACACTGTCTATATTCATATGCACAAATATAAAAGAAGACATTGATATTGTTGTTTTATTGTTTTTAAAATAATCAACAAATGAATGAAAACATTACCTGTGAGGGACAAAGTGACTCCGGGATCACCAGTATAACTTCCACGTTGCTGGTTTGTTATGAACCTGAACTTGTAAACAGCTGAGTCACTATTTCTCACATTTGTGATTGTCAGAGTGCAGTCCTTCGATTTAGAGCTGTAGGTCACACGACCTGTGTACTGTGAGTCTGTTTGCAGATCTACATGTTTTCTATCCTGGACTTTAGTAAACCAGAAGGACTTCTGAACTGTAGTAGTAGATGGGTAGCTGTAGGTGCACCTTAGTACGACTGTTGATCCTCTTAAGGCACAGACTTCAGTAGAGGAGTAAGTCACTCTCCAGCCAGCCTGACCCTGAATCACTGTAAAATAGAGCACATCAAGAACCACAGTTACAGTAAGAGCAGCATCATGAGTCAAACCTTCATTCATAGTGGAGGTGCTTCAACTAGTACGACTACACCTGATGTCAGAGTGAGACAAAGCTAGCAGCTATCCTAATAAAGTAGAAAAGGTCAAGTCTCTTTGTGCAGAAGTTACTATTTACAGTCTGCCTAACATGATTCTTCATGCTGCTGTGGTGGTCGTGAAAGGTGAACAAACCTACCCATAATTCTCTGAGATACTGGCTAATTTAGCTGGTTTAATTACAAATAAGACTGTTTCCTGTTTTTCTATAAGCTGCACAAAAAACAAGTGAACCCAGACCCCCCTTTTCAAGTGATCCGAATATGATTGTTTGGTCAGCACCAGGGTTTGATTGACAGCTTTGACACCAGCACAAACTTGCTACAGACTCAAGATATCTTTAACTGAACCAAACAGGCTAGATGTGAAAACGCCCAAAGAGGCTCTTCACACATTTCATTAACAGCCGTCTTTGTTGATCTGATGACAAGTGGATAGCCTTAATGCTCGGTGTGAACGCGCCCCAATGCCTCCTGAGGATGGGCTGAGTTCTGACAGCTCGGACCACATACAGACGTGGTGTGGCATGCATTTGTTCACATTGGATTGATAGTGTAAACACTCATGCGTCCACTGCAGCATTTAGGACCGCCCACTCAACTAAAAACCTGGGAGATCAACAGATTCTGTCCATGCAAAGTTTGAACACCTGTACTAAGGTATTGTCCACTTGTTATAAGATCACCCAGGGATGACAATGCAAGGTGTGAACACAATGTTAGACTGTTCAAACATCATTTGTCAATACTACTCAACCACCAACCAGACAGCAGAACACTTCATATACCCAAATGGTCATGCATGTACAGACTCTGCATTAATATACAGATATCTGTTATTAATAGAGGTTACTGCAAAAGGGAAAAGAGGCGGAGCAACAGTTGAAGACGTACACCTGATCTCTATTAAAGACGATAAAGACATGATATAGAGGGTGCAGCCAGGGGTCTCAGTGTCGAGAACATTTGTGTTTAAAACTGTTTTGTTTGACCAGGAGGTAAAATAAATAAATATTAGAAGAGTGGAGTACATGAGAACTAAACTCTGCTCTGCTGAGTTGTTTCCTGTCCGTGATGCGGCGACAGCAGAGTGTGAATGGAATCTGCTGAGAAATGAGGTGTGAGCAAAAACTGTGATGGGTAGATAATATTTATAGAGAGACAGCATTTTCAAACTTGTGGGATTAGATGTTTAGCAATTCAGTTATTAACAATATACTACTACTAATAATAATATATATATAAGTATTGATATTAATATATATTAAGGCTTATTTTAGGGTATTTTACGCCCCTATCCAGAGACAGGACAGTGGACAGAGTCAGAATCTGGAGGGAGAGAGAGTAGGAAACGACATGCAGGAGAGGAACCACAGGCCACAGACACAAACCCACCCGCCCGCCCACCCGGAGAACCACAGCCTCCACCAGGGCTGGCCCATGGCATAGGCAGTATAGGCAAATGCTAGGGCGCCATCATCCATAGGGGCGCCGCTGGCACCCATATGAATGCGGCAGAAAACTTGAAGATAAGAAAAGAAATAGAAGGAAAAATGTGTTTAAATATCATTAAATATTATTTATCTAATATAATTTCCATGCTACCCTTAATAATGATAGAAAAGAAGCCATGAAAACACAACTATCACATTTTTAAAAAGGCTCTATTTTCTTGTCTCCTGCTTGACGCGGCTCATCACAACAAAGCTGCTCGTTACCTGCTCCTTGTGGAGGAGAGGGCAGGTGACTTATTAGAATTGAGTGACACTGACCATACTTAATATCAATTAATTAACAATTAATATCATGTTTTTAAATGACCATAATGTAAACAACAACAAAGCCCTCAGGAGCCCAGGGACGAAAAAGAAAGAGGAGAAAAAATGTGAAAAGACACAGAGGTAACGTGCTGCACGGATCAATTATCTGTTCTATTTAAGATAGCTTGTTATGGATGGATGATAGTAACGTCTGTGTTTCCTAGCTCGAGTTAACATCAGTTATTTCACTGTACTTTTATTAGGTTAAGATTATTCATGTTAAGAAAATAACCACTTTAAGAAATACACTTCTTCTTTTGTTCTAATGTTGTTCGGGACACAAAACCTACTTTTATATTTATTGACATCTTTGTGTACTTCGTTAACTTTCACCCTAGTCGATTAAAAATGTTTATTTTCCTCCTCCTGTTGTCATTAATAGTTTTAAGCTCTTGCCTTTAGAGTATTGATGTCTAAGAGCATAAATGCATTTGTGCATGAAGCCTCTCTGAATAGATCTGTGTGCATGCTGTAGGTCTGGTTAGGAAAATATTTAGGCTCACATGAAAAACTATGCTGAGGTTTCTGTTCTGCTCTGAAGAGAAATAATATTTTGTGTTCACACTATATTATAAAATGCCCACTGTTTCACAAATGCTCATCTTCTCTCTCCAGATACAATCAAAATATTTAAATCCATTCCTGGGCCGTCTGTGTCCACTTCTGCTCCCTGCACTGTTTGATATTGTTTGTTCTAGTACACTAGTTATTTGTATTGATTTATAAAAAAATTTAGAGTTATTACCATTTATTCATGTTTATTTAAAGTATTTTTTATTTTTAAATAAATAATTAATGTTAAATATAAAACTGTATGCCAGTTTTCTTTAAGTGGATGAATATAATATATTAGTGGTCAAACTGTCTACAATTTAAGGGGCAACCGCTGAAATCTTTCCTAGGGCACCAAAATGGTTAGGGCCTGCTCTGGCCTCCACACATGCACACCAACAACACCTTTCATTCTAATATCTACTGAAAAACATAAAATCATCAACCAGAATGAATAACTATGGGGCACCACCCTCCACCAGGGACCAAAAACATCTAACGGTCAGTTTGGAGGAATGCAGATCAATTATTTTAAAGAAAACATCTCAACACAACTCTTCCAGCTCAAATGGTGCATGATCCTTAAAGTTTATAATTTTAGGTTAAAGGAGTCTGCTGGACTTCCTATAAACATTTAGTAACAGTCGTGACAGAAACTTCAATATT